CCAGGTGTGGCTGGGTAGTGGGTGAGCCTGGTTCATGTTACGGACAGCGAGCGGCAGATAGAGTCTCTCATGAGCTTAAAAATAAATACGGGACAGAATTCTCAAGGCTGAGGCAGCTGCCCAGCTAACCCTAAGCTGCTGAGACAGTGGCATCGCGGTCGTGGCGGTGGGCACTGGTCTGCCCAGCTGGCACGGCAGCAGGTCGTGCTGCTCGGGGAGGCTGGTGAGCAGGCAGCCAGGGCTCTCCAGGCAGGGGCAGCGTTCTGGGAGCCCCTGGGCCTCTGAGGCCTCGTCCCCATGGACACACAGGGCAAGCGGGAGGCCAGGCCAGGGCCCACGTGGCTGTTGACGAAAAGAATGATCCAAGTCTCTAGCAGCCTGGATTCCACCGACACCCGGGTCCCGTCATGGAGGCAGCTGGAGACCGTTCGCAGGGCTGGTCTGCGCTGGGCCCCAGGCCTCGGGAGGAAGGGCACCTCCCAGGAAAGACTCAGCCCCCTGGGACAGCTGTCCCCCTCCACAGCCAGGTCAGGTGCGGCTCCTCAGGGCGCCAGGCCTCTCTCGGCCCCCGTGACCACAGTCAGCCTGCGCAGCGCTGGTAACAGATGCCGGCCCCCGAGGCTGTGCAGGGAGTGGCAGTCACTGCGGGGGGGCCACGGGGGTCGGGGGTCGCAGTCCTTGCCTGCCGCCGCCCTGCTCTGTGGGCTTGGTCTAGGGTGCATGCTGTCTCCAGGTAAGCTGACCTGTGGGGTTCAGTACAATATTGCCCTTAGGGTCATGTGGCTTTACAGGCCACGGGGCCCGGGGTGAGCGAGGAGAGCAGCGTGTTTTAGGAGCTGGAGGAAATGAGCGTCACTCTCGGGCTGCAGAAAGAGGGCACCGGGAATCTGAGGTGACAGGACCCCCGGGATCGCGCTGGCTGGGCAGCTCAGCATGCTCCCATTTGGGACCCACTGGTTGGGGGCCGAGGCCTGAGCCCTGGGCACTGCTTCAGTCCCGCCTGCCGGGCCCTCCTGAGCGTCTGAGACCAGACAAATGCATCAGACACTAGACGGGCACGCAGCTGGGGTGCAGCCTGGGCGGGCCTCCCCTGGGGCCTTCTGGGGTTCTGTGGTCCCTGCCCATCTTGTCAGAGCACCACTGGAATGAATGTCTGTCCTTTCGAGACTGAACTCAACCCAGAAAGGGGTGGCAGGGCCCTGCATCTTCTGATTTAGTATGGCTTTAACTTACTCTTTTTCTTTTATTTTTTAAGGTGGAAGTCATTGCATTGAGACCTTTCTTTCCTAATAAAAGCAGTTAGTCCTATAAACTTCTTTATATACTTCTTCAGTAGCT